CTTGGTCTAGAAAGCCTCCGCCCACCGTCCCCCAACCTCTCCCTGCACCCAGATGCTCGGCCAGGCCAGGAACTTACATGGAGGACTGTCCTAGACAAGACTGCTTCCAGAAGCCCTTTGGCCCTTTTCTTAATTGCCTCAGGACAGAGGACTGGGTGCATCTAGGAGGGGGGCAGAAAATCAGTTGTGGGCTTTCTTCATTAGCTCCAAAAAACCCCTCCTCAATGCCAATGCTGACTCATAGTTGACCCTATGGGAGAGGGTCTGACTGTGCCTGAGTGTCCGAGACAGGGTTTACGGGAGCAGAAAACCCATCTTCCTCTTAGAAGTGTCTGGTGGCTTTCGAACTGCTGACCTCGTAGATTTCAGGCTAACTTCAGCCCAACACGTAACCACATCGGGATCTCTGCTGCCTTTTCCTCTCCAGGTTCAAGAGGCTAGGAGTCCCGATTCAGGGACCCTGCGCTCAGGGCGGGCGGGTGGGCATGCTGTCATGGGAAGGCCCACGCCTGCCGAGCTCCTGCCGCTCCATGCCCTCTCTGGGTTGGGCATCTGTCTCCTCCCATCCTCCGTTTACTTGCTTGTTTAATCTCTTTTGTATCTCCTGAGATATTAACTCCCTCTACACTAATCCAGCCTCATTAACGTAACAAAGACTTTACCCATTCCATTCTTGAGTGGGGTTCTAGCCCCAGGCAGAGGGATTAGCAGTTTAGCAGCTATATGTATGGGGGGGGGGAGGGGGAGACTGCCACACCTACCTTCTGCTTCTTGTAGGCTGTGCTTTGTAGTAGAAGGGGTCAGCTCCTTGACGGGCAGGTGAGAACTGCCTGGCTCATTCCAAAAGCCCTGCTGCCCAGGAGCGGTGACAAAGCGGGGCCTGGGCTCCCCAGCTCCTGCTGGCTTGGCAAATCGTCTCCCATTTTCTCCTCCCTTGCCATGGGAGAGAGGGTGGTGGGCATGACTCTTCCCACAGACATTAAGTAACTGGTGCCACACTGCCCGAGAGCAGTGGGACCAGCGCTAAGGCTCGCTCCGCTCGGAGTGCGAGGGGCTGGGGAGGGCCAAGATGGCCCTTCTCCGGGGTCTTTGGGGTACCTCCTGGTCTCGGGCTGTGAGAAGTCTGGAGGCCAGCCGGCTCCCCTTCTCCCTCCACGTTAGGCCTTAGACTGTGACTGGGCTCCAGGGGGCTCAGCCTCGCGTGGTGGGTCCACGCACCACATGTGAAGTTAGTCCTGGTGACCTTTCTCCCAGTTCTTGCCATACACCCTCGCTCTCCTCCACTGGGCATGCCACCAGGCAGGACTCTGCACCCCACAGTGCCCTGTGGGCAAAAGGCCTGGGTTGGCTATGGGAGGAGCACAGGCTGGTCACTGCTGGGTGTGCTCAGGGCCAGGGTGGAGACCCTGCAGCCCACCACCACAGCTTCCTGGGGGCTCACCTTCATCTCCACCTCAGCTCGGAGAATTCAAAGACAGCAAGAAAAATGAGGGACTTTCAGGGGCAGCTGTGTTTTGTGACTCAGTCATAATGCCCCTAAAAATCCTTATTGTTCTTGCAGTATGCATCGGACAGCAGCCCGGCGGGGAGGGGAGGGGTCCCCTGGGGCCGGAATGATGGGTCCCACCAGATGAGTGTGAGTGGGCACTTGCGGTCAACAGGCTCACCGAGAGGCTTTTTTTCTCCGCAGTGTGGGTTTTGGTTGGGGACTGGGGAGGGTGGGGCTGGGCGCAGTACATTTGGGAGGTCGTCCTGGGGTCTGTCTGAGTAAAGCCACAGTGTGGGGCTGGACAGGAGGACCACCGGGACGACCGGAGAAGGCACCGACCTGGGAAGTAGCTGACAAAGTGGCCCAGTGCTCTTGGCAGTGGTTGGTGGCCCTCACCCCTGTTGGGCTTCGTGGCCCCCTCCATTAGCACCCCTCCCCTCCACCACCCCGAGGATCCTTTGAAAGTAAAGTTTTCTCTCGGGTAGATTTGGGATTCCTGGGAGATTGCCCCCAAACAGAAATACCTTTTAAAACCGAAAGCCATTAGTGACACGCTCCTCTTGCCCAAGAACACCCATCCACAAAAAGGTCACCAAATCCCAAAGCCATGACGGAGCCTGTCTCTCCAGCCCGGCTAGGCAGGCGGCTGGCCCGAGGGTGGGCTGCAGGTGAACCTGACGCGCACTTCATGTCCCGGGGCCCACGGGCCTTGCCAGCCTCTCAAGTGGGTGGGAAGTTCACCTCCAGGTGTTTGAGGTTCCCTGGTGCCCACTTGCAAGCACCGACCCAGCCAACCCAGAACGCAAGGCCAGAGTGCCCCTCCTGCCCCAGCTGTGCCTCAACACCAGCTCTCCCAGAGTCACCTTAAGGGTCTGAGTGCCCCTCTGCCGAGGAGAAGGGACAACTCCAAAGTAAGACATTGTCCCTTCTTGTTGACAGCGGGAAAGGGCACTCCACATGGAAAGTTCCCAACCGACCTGGTCAAAGGGGACCTTCCTTGATTGACCCTGTGCTCGCTCACTCAAGATCATCTGTCCCTCCTCCTCGTCCTCCCCACCCGAGAAGCTTAGGCAATGGTACATGGAAGATGAAACCAGTGACTGGCCCCTCCCTTAGGGAAGAATTGCCTTCCCTGTTAGAGAAAGTGGAAAGTACCAAAAGGTAGAGATGAGAGCATGTCTCCCTATCAGATTGTAAATTTGCGAAGAGGCTTTGAGTCTATGCTGTGGGGTTCGGGGAGACATGCCAGCTGAACCCAGAAGCAGAATCTTGTGTGTGCTGGCACCAAGTGGCATTGTTCACAACTTAGTAAGTACAAGTAAGCCCATGCTTACCTTGCTCCATAGTTGATAGGGCACCAAGCTGGTCTCTGCATTTACACTCCCACCTTGATAGCAGATAAAAGCGGGGCCAGGGCCCTAACCCGGTTCAGCTGGTAGCCCGGTGCCTTTGGAAGCCAGAAATTGTTAAGTTTTTTCTTTTTGCCAAGTGGACTGCGTGCTCTGCGCCACGCCCACCACCAGCCAGGCTACTGCCTTGGTGGGATTGATTTCGAGGTGCAAGCTGCATTGCTTTTCCACCTTGTTTGCACGGAAGAATCACTTGGGGAGTAAAGCGTGCCCGTGCTTGGGCCCCACCTAAGATCAGTTGGATCTAAGTTGCTGGGGTGGGAGGTGGGGGCAGCACTCAGGATGGGCAGCACTGTTTGTTTTTTAATTTCATAGCGAATGTTTCTCAGGGGGCTCTTGGGAGCAGCCAGAGGTGACCTGCTGGACTGCAGGTACTTCATGACTGAGGTAGGTGGAGGGCAGCCTCTGCGGCGCTGGGCATTTGCAATTGACTAGCTTTGTTCACGTTGGTCTTTAAAAAAAATTTTGGCCACTCGGATTCATCCGTTGAAGTTCTCATGATCTCTCCATTTTACAGGCAGGGAGACAGGTGAAGGCATTCAAGGAACTGAACCTGCGGACACGGAGCTGAGAGACGGTGGCACTGGGCTTGCACCCACAGTTCCGGACGCCCAGGGCCCATGGTCCTTCCATAACAGTAAGGGTCACTGCGCTGTGTCCTGAGGCGGACGACGGCTGTTCACGGAGGAGTTGTCTGCTGCAAGGGAAGGTGGTCATGTGCTTTGTAGCCTCCAAGATGCTAGGCAGGGTTTGCCCGCCTCCCAGAGGGAAATGAGTTCAGAACCCTGCAGAGGGGGCTCACACAGGGCCAGACTTCAGCCCCCTGGTTCCCTTGCCCCTTGCTCAGGTGGCTAGGAAGGGCCATGGCCCTGCAGGAGGATTGCTGGCCTTGGCCTTGGCCTGGTTATCTTCAGGGCAGGTCCTCACTGGCGTGTCCCTGTGCCCAGGTGGTGCCCCTAGCCCCACCTCTTCCTCTGAACTGCTCCAGGAGCCTTCAGGCCCGCTGGGCAGGCTGCCAGCGCAGTGAGCTAGTGGATGGTGCATTGTCGGCTCCAGGAAGCCGTCCACTGCTCCCGGGGCCGGTCTGCAGGGCTAGATGGCCAGCCTGCCTGGGACGTGGCGGGTGGAGATGGGAGCCGGGAGCCAGAGATGGGAGCCTGTTTCCAGAGCGCTGCTTTCCCGGAGCCCTGTGGCTTGGGGCCAGGCCCAAGGGCTGGCTTCTTTTGGAAGGGAAGGCCGGCCGAAAGCATTCAGCCTCGCCTTCCTTGCTTGGCATCAGCCTTCTCCCTCCTCAGTCTGGCTCTGCCCTTCTCCCCGCCCAGTTCTCTGCAGCTGAGTGCACACCCATTAAACCTGCTTCCCAGAAAGCAGGGAGGTTGTGCCCACCAGACTACCCAGCCAGCACCTAGGTGGGAAACGGCATCCAGGAGGGAGTGGGCATCAGCCCAGCTTCCCTTGCCCATGCTCTCTGGGAGTTGGGTGGGGAGATTACCCCTAAACTGCTTTGGCCTCCTTGGGTCAAGAATAGCCACCTAGGAGAGTTGAGCCAAAACGAGAGCTTTGGGCTTGCTTCTGGAATGGGGGTGGGACAAGCTTTGTCCCGGAGTCTGGTCCAGGGCGGCCACTTAGTGGGACCCCTTGAGTAAACCTTATCACCTCCCAGCGGCCGGCTCTTGGCCTCATGGGCATCACAGTGCCCAGAGGGCCTGTGCCGGCCTCTAAGCTCACCGTGAAGATGGCTACGAAGTTACCTCTTCCCTGCCCCGCAGGAGAGAACTCTGGGTGGTGCTGAAGGAGGCTCAGCCAGGGGCGGTGGGCTCCCAGCTCTAAAAAGGCGATGTGAGTGTCAACATGGCGGATGGCGGCTTCTCTCCTCAGTCCCACCAGGATGGCCTCACCCGTTGGCCCTGGCCCTGCCTGCACCCTGTGGTTCTGACTGCAGCCCCCAGACCCCGAACAGGCCCCATTGGTTGCCCCTTTGCCCTGGTTTCCCCCCAAGAGTGCCTGCCCAGGCCCAGTGCCCATGGAGGATCCCGTTCCTCCGCTGTGTGGGTCCAGACGCTGCCAGCTCCACGGTGTGGCCACTGGGTCTAGGCCAGCGGAGCCTCTCCTTCCCTGCCAGCCTCCTGGGCGCAGACAGCCCAGTGCTGGCAGGAAGGGCTTTCTGTTTGGCTTGGCTGGCGGGATGCGATTAGCGCTCGCTTTCTATTTTGACTCCTATCTCACCAGCAGGCAGAGCCTGTGACTGAGCAGAAAGCAGCCGTGGGCCTTCCCAAGGGCTCCCTGCTGTGTCTGGAGGGAGTGAATGGGGGACCGCCTAGTACCGGCCCCCCCCATCATGCAGAGAGGTATGTGCATGTGTTGACTCTCCCTCCCCAGAACCGTGGCCCCACCTCCTAATGCTTCTCTTTTTCTTCAAGGGGCTACCCCTCCCCACCCTGTATCAGGTGGGGCTAACGCCACCCGTTGCTCTAGAGGCAGGCATGTGACCCAGGAAAGGTCTTTTCTTTCACCGGGAGCTGCTGCATGGGTGCAAGCCCAGGATTACTGGTGGGCATCTTAGTCTCCCCTCGGGCAGGGCACAGAGGAGGACAAAGGCAACAGAGAGGGGAATGAGCTGAGAGCTTAAGGCCCTGCCCCCGTTTATATGAACCAAGTCAAGATTAAAGTATAGGAGATATATATACACACACACATCTTTCTTTTAAAACATCAACTTTGATGGTGCCCAGCTATCAAGGGATATAGCGTCTGGGGTCTTAAAGGCTTAGAATAAAACAAGTGGCCATCTAGCTGAGAAGCAACAAATCCCACATGGAAGAAGCACACCAGCCAGTGTGGTCAAGAGATGTCGATGGGATCAGGTATCAGGCACCAAAGACCCAGGGGAAAAAAGGCCTATCATTGTGAATGAGGGGGAGTGTGGAGTGGAGACCCAAAGCCCATCTGTAGACAATTGGACATCCCCTCACAGAAGGGTCACAAGGCAGAGATGAGCCAGTCAGGGTGCAGTATAGCACCAAAGAAACATACAACGCTCCTCTAGTTCTGAGCAAGGGCTCAATTAGAAAGAAAATGATGATGGCAACAAATGTGCTTGACACAATGGATTGTGATTAAGTGTACGATTCACAAGTTTCCAAACTCAAGATGTAGATTCTTTCACCTCTTCACAGAGTTCCTTAGCAGCCCAGGCCCTTGATGGTCACTTCTCCCGACCCCCATCACTGACCTGCTTTCCATCTATAGCCTTTGCTAAAACATCACATAAATATCACCTCTCTAAATAAGCGACCATCTTGCTCAGAAGCAACAAAGCCTACATGGAAGAAGCACACCGGCCTGTGTAATCACGAGGTGTCAAAGGGATCAGGGATCAGACATCAAAAAATCATACCGTGAATGAGGGGGTGGGGTGCAGATTGGGGACCCAAAGCCTATCTATAGGCAACTAGACATCCCCTTACAGAAGGGTCGTGGGGAGGAGATGAACCAGTCAGGGTGCAGGGTAGCAAGTATGAAACACACAACTTTCCTCTAGTTCTTGAATGCTTCCTCCCCTTCCCCACTATCATGATCCCAATTCCACCTTACAAATCTGGCTAGACCAGAGGAGGTACACATAGCAACTGGAAACATAGGGAATCCAGGACAGATGATCCCTTTAGGACCAGTGCTGAGAGTGGGAAGGACAACAGAAAAGTGGGTGAAGGGATACGTTGGACAGTGTAAGATATAAATTATCAAGGGTTTGGGAGGGAGGGAGAAAAAATGAGCTGATACCAAGGGCTCAAGTAGAAAGCAAATGTTTTGAGAATGATGAGGGAACAAATGTACAAATGTGCTTGAGACGATGGATGGATGGATTGTGATGAGTTTTATGAGCCCCCAATAAAATGATTTAAAATTAAAATAAATATTACCTTGGCTTCCTTCACTCAACGTCATGTCCAGACTCATCCAAGTGGCTTTGAACTCTAAGGCTTTGTTGTTTCCATTTCTCTACCTCGACGTCGGTCTCATTTCACAAATGAGTTAACAGGTCCAGAGATGACAGCCTGTTCAGGGGCACATAGCCCCGGGCCTGACAGATCTGGGCTCTCTGCTTTCAGGGACACAAATGGGACAGTTAAGTCAGAGTGTTCCTTAAGAAAAGGACCTGTTTGAGGACTGCTTGGGAAGGTGTTTGTGGGACCTGGTGTTGATGTAAGGATCTTGGGGCCTCGGTAGCCCTGGTGGTGGAATGGTTACACCCTGGCCGCCTCACCATCAGGCCAACAGTTTGAAATCAGTAGCTGCGCCACGGGAGAAAGATGGGCTTTCTACTCTTGGAAACTCCCCGGGGCAGGTCTGCCCTGCCCTATAGGGTTACAGTGAGCTGGCATCCACTCGATGGTAGTGATTTTTTTTTTTTTTTGAGTAGCCTTGGTCTTCAGCGTTTCACCCCCAGACCAATATGGTTTGTCATCCTCACCTGCCCCCCGCCTTCCATCGTTTGAAAGATGATACCTACTAAACAGGTTATACAAATGAAGCCGGGATCCGCTTCCTCAAACAGGATGCCCTGTCTCTGCTGACTGGTAGTCATAGGGTAATTCCAGCGTGCATGCGTTGGATTAACCCACTGGTGCCCTTGAGTCCCAACTTGGAATGTGGGCATCCCCGGTTGACAGTGAGGGAAACTGAGGCAAGGAGAAGTTCCCAAAGCTGTGTGGATGTGTCTCCTACCTCTGCATGTCTCCTCAGATCCTCCTGCTTCATCAGACTGCCTGCTGGTGAGTCGCTCTGCCTCGGCCGCCACACTGCAACAACGGATAGATGATTGGCTGCTTTCCTACAGTCTCCGTCTCATCTTGGGGGGTGCAAGGGGCACTGTGTCCCAGAGTAAGGGGTCTGGCTTCCCGGATGGCCTCCAGAGGGGCTGAAGAACTCATCCACAGAAGTTCTCTGGATTGGGAGATGAGATAGGAGGGTAAATTCCTTCTTTGGTCCTTCCTCCTCCCAATCCCTCCCGTGGACCATTCAAGGCACTTTCTCTAGATTACCATCTGGAGACCGGAGTCTGCTGAGGATCTCCCTCTCAAAGGACTGTGGTTTTGTTGGTCCCAAGTCCCCAGTCTACCAGGACCTAAGTCTACCGAGGTTGCTTGTGCAGCAATGGCAGGGTGGTTATGCCTTGCCTTCTGTCGTTCCCTGCTTCACTGGCCCTTCCCTGGCATTCCACCTCCAACATAAGACACTGCATTTACTCTCTTTGCCAAAGCCTCTTTTCTACAGAGAACCAGGTGCAGCGAGGTGAAGCTATTTCCCTGAGGATCGGGGCCTGAACTCAAGACTGCCTGAGCTGAACCAGTCCGTGCTCGGAGGGGGCATTTTTGAATGGCTCTTCGAGTCATGAAGACGTCTCGATGCCCCAGCTGACAGCGACCGCGGCCTCTTGGTTCCTGAAGGTTCCCTGGCCTGTGACTGGCCTTGTGGTGCTTTCCTTCTCTCCTTGATGTGAGCAAACCGGCACCCACTGCCTCAGAGAGACCCGGGTGACCGAGCTGAGCTCCCTTCGAGGGTTTCCAAGACTCAACGTCTTACGGAGCCACGTCGTTCTTCCGCGGAGCAGCTGGCGGATTCAAACCACGACAGACCCTTCTGTAAACAGCCCAGCCCTTCAGAACACCACCAAAGATCCTTTCGACAACATGCCTTTCCTCTGCACCTTTAGCTTCAACCCTGACTCTGCATGAGGATCCCTGGTGGGTGCTGTTGGGCCGCTAACTGCAAGGTCAGCAGTTTAAAACCACGAGCCTCTCGGGGAGAAAGGGGCTTTCTACTCCCGTAAAGACTTAGTCTCATAAATTCACGGGGCCGGTTCTGCCCTATCCTGGACGGGGTCGCTGTGAGTCTGCATCGGCTAGACGGCAGTGAGGTTGGTTTTTTGGGATTCCGTAAGAGCGCCACATTGCACACCCCTGTCTCCCAAGCCTTGTCCCCGGGAATGCCTCAAAGTGGAATCTGCGTTATGGGAGACTGGTTCCCAAGCACCCAGTTTCCATTGCTCCTCATGGCAGTCCCCGTAGTTGGGGAGCTGCTTCTCCTCCGCTCTGTGGAGTCCTGGAGTACTCCACTACCGGGCAACCAGGTGGTCACAAGACCCTGGTGAGGCCAGCCGGAGCCCTGCAGTCTCTGGGTGGGTCCAATCAGAGTATTCAAGAATTTCCCCTTGAATCATGAATTTTTAAGGATCTGCAGCCAGAGCTCTAGTGGCTTGTAACGGACCCTAAATGAAGCCCTGAAACAGTCAGCAGCGATCAGCTCCCTTCCCTTTCAGCGTCTGACCCCTAAGCCTCTGTCATCAGTCAATTCTGACTCAGTGACCCTTGGGGGGAAAGTTGCATTTTTGTTTAAAATAAACACTGTTTTTTATCTTGTCTCTTTTATTTTAACAGTTTTATTGGTATAGAATTCATATACCATACGATTCAATGGTTTATATATATTAAAAAGAATTGTTCAACCATCACAATTTTAGAACATTAAAAAAATTTTTATATTCATTACTGTTAGCTCCTCATTTCCCCCCATCCTCCCCAACCCCAAGACACTATTAATCTAGTTACTACCTCTATAGATTTACCTATCCTGGATTTTCTATAAAGGAAAACTTATCCCCTCCCCACACCCAAACCCAACACCCAACAACCATAATAAAACAGAGAAAAACCTCAATCTAAAAACAAAAAAATAAAAACTAGAACAAATTTTAAGTGGGTGAACAAACAGTAGGGTGTTAAATGTTAGCAGTTCTACCTTGTCCCATGGGGCCACCAGGAGTCAGAATGAACTTGGCGACAGTGTGTTTGGTTCAGGCTGTCGCTCCTCCCCTTCCTGTATGTAACGGATGCACCTTCCTACAAGCTCCCCAGTCCTAGCATTCGCTCTTGGTTTGTGGCCAGCCTGTGTCTGCAGTTCAATCCCTGGATCCTACTCTCCAGGGCCTTCTCTCCTAATAGACACTCTCCAGAACCCAGGACATTACGCTGTGTGCTGTAGCCTCTTGACCTGAGCCAGTCTGCAGCAGCCAGCTCTACACCGCTTGGTCCACAGATTGACCCCAAAGACTGAGAGCCAAGAAACAGCACCGAGCAGGCCATGGTTGTGAAACGCCCCCTACCTTTCAGGTGGTCTTGCCCAAAACAACATCAAACTCACATCCGAGGAAGCCTCTCCTTCTAACCATCCATCCAGAGGAAAAGCAGGATAGATGAGCACATTGAGCTACATCACGGGATAGCAAATCAAAAAAAGTCAGGGCAAGCTGACATAGGATGATCAGTTTCTGCCAACAAATTAATTATAAGCAAACAACAACAAAACTCTAGACCAGAAAAGGCTCAGAACACAACAATTACACCTAAATTCAAGCATGTGGTCAAATATCAATGTGACCATTGGAAATCTGAACATTGATGGACTCTTTGCAAATATTAAATATTGTTATTAAAAAATTTGGGGGGTGATAATGGTAGTATGGTTATATTTTCTTGGTATTTTTAAAAAATCGTTTTATTGGGGCTCATACAATTCATCACAATACATAGATCAACACAAAAGTGAAGGGAGACGTCGGACAGGGCAAGATATGACAAAATAACAATTTATAAACTATCAAGGGCTTATGAGGGAGGGGGAAGCAGGGAGGGAGGGGAAAAATGAGGACCTAATGCCGGGGGTTTAAGTGGAGAGAAAATGTTTTGAGAATGATGAGGGCAATGAATGTACAAATGTGCTTTACACAATTGATGTGTGTATGGATTGTGATGAGTTATACAAGCCCCTAATAAAGTGATTGAAAAAAAATTGTGTAAAGCACACCTATACATTTGTTGCCCTCATCATTCCCAAAATTTGCTTTCCTCTTGGGTTCCTGGAATCAGCTCATTTTCCTTTTTCCCCCTCCCCCTCCCTCCCCCCTCCCCCCTCCCCCATGAACCCTTAATAATTTATAAATTATTATTATATCTTATATTACACTGCCCGGCGTCTCCCTTCACCCACCCCTCTGCGGCCCGTCCCCCAGAGAGGAGGTTATATGTAGATCCCTGTGATCAATTCCCCCTTTCTATGCCGCCCCCCCCCATTTTTGTTTTTTAAAGACGGCTCCATTCAACCCAGACACACATCGACAACATGAATGGATATATGCTCAATGGGATATTATTCTACCATAAAGAGAAATGAGATTCTGATATGTGCCACTTCATGGACGAACCTTGAAACATGATGCCGAGTGACGTAAGTTTGACACAAAAGGACAAACATTGCATGTAGGCAACACATCGACACCGCAGTCCATCTGGCTACCAGAGGCTGGGGCGGCGATGGCAACACCAGGGGCTAACGATGATGACTTATCACGGAATCCTATATTTGCAAGTGGTTAAAATAGCCGGCAGATCGTTCTAGATGATTTGTCACAATAAAAATAATAGTTATGAAAAGGAATTCTTTCAGAGATGCACCCTAAAATATTTGTAGATGGCTGCTCTCATGCCTGGGATATGGATGGGGAGGGCCGGGTGGGGCAGAGCTAGCCATGGGCTGTGATCGGCTCAGCTGAGTGGTGGGCTATGGTGTGTCCCTTCTAGCCCATGGCAGAGGCCAGGGTCGGGGATTTGGGGAAGAGCAGCAGGGAGGGGGAGGATTGTGACAGACACCAGGCCTTGCTGAAGCCCTCAGCGGCGTCCTTCCTTTGGGAGGAAGATTGGAGGTCTGCCTACGTAAAGGTCTTGGAGACCCACCCGATGGGACAGTTCTGCTCCTGTCTGTCCTTCGGACAACGTCTGACTTGAACTCAACCGATGGGTTTGCCGTGCCCACCTCCCCACGGCCACGCCAGGGCCCTGCAGTGCTGTGGTCACTGGTGCCCAGGCTCAGATCACAAGGGTAGCTTTCTTTGTCTGTGGATGAGTCACGGAGCAGGACACTGTAATTGTAGAACTCCGGCCCCACCGGCAAGCCCAGCTCCTCCCTTCCTGGGAACTCGGGCTCCACATCCCAGGCACATCCTGGGCCACGTCAGGCTGTCTGGCCGCCTGTGGGGACGGGAGAAGGTGCAGCAGCTGGTAGGAGCTGTGGGCATTTCCAGACTCGTTTCCCACGACACCCCTGCGGCTGGTAGTGTGGCCAGGCCAGGACCTGAGGGCCACTCAGCCCCACAACTAGGAGTGCTTCCCCAAGGGGGTGCATGCTAGTCATGGGGCCTCCATCCTCAGTCCCTTGGTGTCCTATGAGCTGTGGCCCCAGTAAGATGCTTCCCCCTGGCCAGGAGCTCCCATCCAATAGGCAGAGGGTCCGATTTTCTCACTGGGGAGCTTAGCCTTTGGGGAGTGACATTTCTTCCTTGTGAGCATTCCCAGCCATTTGGCCCTTCTCTGCCAGTGGAGACCCTGTCGCTGTGGCAACCAAAAAAGGTCGCACACATTTCTAGCCAGCCTTGAGATCCCGCACCATCCCTGGTTGCAAACTATTGTGGGTCTTTAGGGCCTCTGCTAGGAGCCCCGGTGGCTTAGTGGGTAATGCTCTGAGCTGCTAACCCCAAGGCTGGCCGTTCAAGCCCACCACCGCTCTCTGGGAGGAGGAGGAGGCTGACTGCTCTCATAAAGATGAATGGCCTGGGAGCCAAAGGGGGCAATACTACCTTGTCCTGTAGGGTCACTCTGAGGTGCAGTCAAGGTAATGGCCTCTCCAAGCCCACGGCTGTACGTGCCTGTGCTTGCTGGGCATTCTGGATGGGGCAGAAGCTGCTACGAGGTTCACAATCCTGCCAAGGGCTCAGATTTGAAGGCCTTTGAAAGGCAGTAGGGGTCTGCCATGGGAGCCAGGGCTGGGGGTTGGGAGCTGCATGGGCATGGGGGCATGAGAGAGCGGGTGGATTTGGAGGAGCCCCCTGGGGGGGCTCCAACCTCTGAATAGGTTCCCCTCCAAGGAGGGATCCTGGTGTGAATCACAAGCCCGTCAACACTGCCAAGAATGCAGTCCCCCAGCGGGGCTTCCTGCCCTGATGGTACCCAGGTGGCCATGAGGTTTGGCGATGACAGTAACTGCTCAAGCTTCCCCACTCATCTGAGGCCTGTGTGTGAACGTGCGGACAAAGAGGATAAGAGCGAACGTGTGTACACCAGTGTGAAATGTTTGTGACCGAGCGCATGTGCATAGGCTGTTTGAGTCCCGGGTCATTTAACAAGTGCAGGTCAGGAGCAGTGGTCCTTGCCTCTCGTGGATGCGGGGGACAGGAAAGAAGGGCACAACACAGACCTAGCCGCCGGTTACGTGGGGCCGGGCTGTGCAGGAGACAGCTCTGGCTGGGGGGCTGCTGGATAGGACGGGGAGAGGTTTACGATGCACATTCTCAGGCTCTGGCTACCAAGTTCAGTGTAGTTTCCAATTCTGCCTTTGATCTCTTTTGGGGTGAAGGTTACCTTCCTCCCTGAGGGACAGAGTTCTGCACTAGCCAGAGGGTGGGCATGTGACACCCCCCCAAGGCCCCTGGGACTCCTGATGACATACTGTGCGGTTCCTGCCTCTTGGCTGGCTGAGCTGTCTCGGGGTTCTGGCTCGTGCCTGGGCCTGCTCCTCCAGCCTGGGCTTGGGTTTTCTGAGCAGAGTGGGTGTGGCCACCTCCGTGTGGGCTTGGGACAAACTTATAAGTCAGCGACAGCAGAGGGAGAGTCCTCGCAGGGAATCCCCCACTACCCTCGCAGAAGAACGTGTTGTACAGGCTGCTGTCCTTCCTGGAACCAGACACCACCCACCACCCCCAGGACATGTGCACAGACCCACGTGCGCGCGTGTGCACACACGTACACAGACAGACACAAACTTAGGTGCATACACGGGTCTCTCAGCGTGCTCATTCCGGAGCCAGTCAGAGCCTGGAACCCTGGCAGGCCTGACCAGGAGGAAATGCCAGCCGAGTTTCTCTGAGTTTCTCAGCTTCCCCGGGGACTCTCGGGACAGAGGCCCTAACCAGCGCTTCCCCAGGCCATGCCGCAGGCGGCAGTGCACAGAGCCTCCCGAACGGGCCTGTGAGTCAGGGCTCCATCAGGCCGGGGCAGGATGTCGGGGCACCATTCACTGAGCCACGCGGCTATTTATAAGCAGCACAACTGCGGGGCCTGCCGGGCGGGAGGAAGTGACCACCGCTGCCAGTGAGTCAGGACTGAGGGTGATGGAAGCCGCACCAGGGCCCCCACCCTGCCTGCCCTGCGGGGAGGGAATTTCCAAATTAGGAGTGAGTGAGCCAGACTGGCTCTCCCACTGCAGAACAATGGGCCAGCCTGGCTCCTGCCTTGCTAGGAACCTAGAAGGGTGGGTAGGACAAGCACCACCCTGGTCCTACTGGGGAGATGGGTTAGTCAGGGTAG